AGTAGGAAGTAGTTTCAATTCCTAAACCTCTGGGATGCTGAGACCCTCCTGGTATCTTGGACACGTATAAGTATTCCCTTAAGTCAAGCATGTAGGGTACAGATAGCAATTTGAAAAAATATATAGAGATTTATTGTTATATAAATATATAAATACAAGCAACCATTTTGCCTATATTAACTAATTGTTTATATATATATATATTTATTTATTTATTTATTTATTTAAGTATGTTATAGATTTATAACTTGTATGATGAGTTCAAATAATTCCCAAAATATTTCTTACGTCGTGTTAGCTATATGAAAGATATAATGATATAAAATGGAGGAAATTATTAGAGCAAGACTACCAAATTTATTAAAAAGCTATATTTTAAAAAGCCTGGCTCCGAAAATTCCCTGCATAATTTCGCATCAATTAAGCCTTTTCCCAGAAAAGTTGGGAGAAAAGACATCGTAAACTGAAGCCACTGGAAACCTACTAAAAAATGCATGTATTTAGGATTATTTATGTGACAGTATAACAGCTTTAGTACATCCTATTGCGACTCTAATGAATCCGTTCCGAGCCTTCGTCTGTTTTGACGTGACAGGCATCGAGAAAAGGGAATCCTTTTGCGAGTCACTTCATAGAGTAATTTTTTAAGAATAGTAGAATTCTCAAGATCAGTATGTCTGTCTGGCCGGGAAGTGCGAAACCCCAAGGCGCCCGGATTAAAGCCGCCGGTCGGTATGCAGACGACTCCTTCGTTCAAGCCAGTATTCACAACTTCAAGGCAATGCTTTTTTAGTTTCCAGTGTGACTGATTTACTTCTCACTCCCACACAACTTTCTATACAGAATAGTGGGTTTAATTAAATGATATAAAACTAAAAATCTGAAAGTGAAGAGAAACATAATTTACTTGATTCCGAACTCCTTAATTATAAGACGTCACTTACAAAATCGTTCGGAGTGTTGTTGGGCCAACCGTTTCATTCTGACTAACAGCTCTTTTGGTAAAGAGATTCCACTTAAGGTAGCATTTATTCTTTCCTCCATAATTTCGGTTGAGTCTTGATGCTCAGTAGAGTTGAATCCGACTGCTTGAAGTTCCGTCAGTCCATTGCTAAGCCGAAGGCCGCCGCAAGCACTTCGGCATTCAGGCCGTGTGAGGAAGCGGTTCAAATTGCCTAGGCAACCGCCATACAGAAAGGGTTGACAACTGCCGAGTCTGGGGTTGTAAAAGAAGCGCGGTTGGCTATGATGACAGGGACCAGGGTCTCGAGGCAGGCGACACACCTCTGGAATCCATAAGCATTATAGAAACGATGAGGTGTACACTCTTAGTTTCAGACTGATATAATCAATTAACTTCTTCCAAGAAAAAGTGCAAGTACATAAGTTAAGTTGAGAAGTTGCCTGAGTCATCTGAGTGGGTATGAGGGCTCCTTACTTGACACCACAGATCAAGGAGTATGTAATTAAGGATAGCTGTCCTAATGCCTAAAAAATATTGTTTTTTATGTTTTTTTCCAGCACTGAAATGAGTAGACTTCGCATTTAAATTAATTAACCGGGTTTTGTCATTCAGATTGGGCAGTAGTCTTGACCAATACTAGGTTTCATCAACAGTCCCGACGAGATTCGACACTCTTTGGTACATGTCGGGTGGCGACACCATAGTGTCTATCACACTAAAACTAATCTCATCGTAAATAAGAAGCATCGTCAAGTGTACTGACGAATACATATTTGCCTTATATGCAATCTCAGCATGCTAGATACCATCTTAAAGAGACCTGGCTTGCCTTAAAAGTAACATTTGTCCTGTGATCCACTGGAACTTACTGACCACGATCCGGCTTCGCATCCCTTTGCTCGCGCTGATGAGACGGTGAAGCTGGCTTGCTGGACAAACATTTGGGTATTAAGTATTGTTTTTCGTGACTACCAGTAAATCAGTTATAAGATGTATTCACTTAATTTCGTTTAAGGGGATGAAGGACTGGTAGAAGTAGAATTTTCCCACAAATGATATGAGTTGAGCTGACGTTTCCATTGAATTTTTACATAGCTGAGGGTGTTGATAAGACCAATGCGAGGTCGAAACTGCAGTCCACTCCTGCTTGGATGAAAACAACTTTTGGGAAAGCAAAGCTATGTAAAAGTTCAATGGAAACGTCAGCTCAACTCATATCGTTTGTGGGAAAATTCTACTTCTACCAGTTCTTCATCACCTTAAACGAAACTGGGAGAATACACCTTATAAACATTTGGGTAACATGGCTATGTAAACTTCCATGAAAGCATGAGGCCTACATATATCATTGTGTGAAAAACTCTACTAGCCGTAGATAAATCACTTTAAAGTGGGAATATTCACCTTCCATATATTTGCCTTTTAAAGAGATACACTTTCTTATGCTAAAGTTATTTGTAGTCAGTCATGGCAATAGCCCCAGATGGGTTGGCAAAATGCCCCACCTACCTTCCATGCTTTTCGGCATGCAAGTCACCTCGCAGTGACTGCGAGTCGCGAAATTGTTGCCGGTCGGTCGAATGGTACCTCTTTTGCTCTTCTTCAAAGGACACTCGCGTACCATCACGCACTGGCGCACCTCGGAAAGGTAGGCCCAACGAGTCACGTACTGATCACTTGGGCATTGGTTGCTGGACGAGGAGATGCGTGCAAAACATCTATCTGGACACAATAATAGCGTAAAATAATAAGCAATAGAATAATAATAGACTAATAACAAATAAGTACTATTAATCAGGTTATATAGTAAACAGCTTAAACAAATATAATATAATGTATAAGAATAATTATATATTAAATATATATATTAAATAGGATAGAATTATGATATAATAATGACAAAGAAATATTAATAATCGGGTTATTTAGTAAAAAACTAACATGCACTCCGGGAAAAACACAAATAAAATCTAGTATATAATAATGCTTTTAATATAAATATAATATGCTATAAAATAAAAGAATAAGAGAATAATAGCAGAGAAATGTTATTCATAAGGTTATTATCAAAACGTCCAACAAATCTGCCGGAATTGGACCTAAATATAATCTGGTATATACAAAGTATTATAGATATAATAAAATATATAATATAGTAATAATAGCATAATATAAGAGATATACTAATAGTCAGAGTATTTCATTAACCGCCAACACTTCTGCCGGTATAAAACGGGAATATGCTATAGTATGTAATAATGCTAATAATAATAACAGAATACTATTGAATATTATAGGGTATGATGATAAATTAATAATAACGCAAAATTGTTAG